GGTGCAGAGAAGAGCAACGAGGCTGGTGAAGGGACTGGAGCACAAGTGCCATGAGGAGAGGCTGAGGGAGCTGGGGGTGTTCAGCCTGGAGAAGAGGAGGCTCAGGGGAGACCTTCTCACCCTCTGCAACTCCCTGACAGGAGGTTGGAGTCAGGTGGGGGTTGGTCTCTTCTCCCAGGCAACCAGCAGCAGGACAAGAGGGCACAGACTCAAGCTCTGCCAGGGGAGGTTTAGGTTGGATATTAGGAAGAGATGTTTTACAGAGAGAGTGCTCAGGCATTGGAATGTGCTGCCCAGGGAGGTGGTGGATTCGCCATCCCTGGAGGTTTTCAAGCTGAGACTGGATGTGGCACTTAGTGCCATGGTCTAGTGACCACGGTAGGGTTGGACCTGATGATCTTGGAAGTCTTTTCCAACCCGATTTTAGCTGCTAGAACAATCCTAAACTATGATACATCAGTACTAAAAGCATAAAAGTGCAATAACAAAATCTCCTGGTGGCTCCTTCCTATCCCAGGGAATGAAGGTAGTAAAAATGGGGAAATTCAGAACAGATTTCTCAATTTCTCTTACTTTGATGGTTCATCTTCCTCAGTTAAATCTTCTTCCAGCTGCAGGAATGTCTGAATCTATAAGGAAATCAGTTTCTTAAGTTCTCTATCTAAGTCCTATAAAGAGATTTATGGAGATGCTGAAATGCTCATCAACTCAATCACAACCAAACCTCATGTTTCCCATTATCTAAGGACCCACAGACTTTTAGTTTCCCTTTATGACTTGTAACCAATGAATACCTCAGGCAAGAGATTTGTTAGCTACAACGAAATGAAACCAAAAGAAATTTTCTAATTCAAGTATTAGCTCCCCCCCCTAAATTATCAGACTAATAACTACCCAAACATTTCTTCTTCCAAACAGGGTGGAAACAAAAGGTGAAATGGGAAAACCACACCATAAACAGTTTTAAATTATTAATTCCTTACCAATTCTGTTACCATAATTGGCCACAAGGAGGTTAGATGCTGAGGGGAAATCCTTAACAACAGAACTCTGAAGAAGAGGAACATCTGGGCAGCAACTATGGAGGTTTGTCCTACACGGAGGTTCTCAGTGAGTCGCTCTGGAGAGAACAGGGGAAAAAAGAGAAAAACCACAAAATCAAGGTAGCATTTTCCTGAATTTGGGTTGTTTTGGGAAATAAAAATGGAGAATCATAGAATCCCAGAGTGGTTTGGGTTGGAAGGACCTTAAAGATCATCCAGTTCCATCCCCTGCCCTGGGGCAGGGACATCTTCCACCAGCCCAGGCTGCTCCAAGCCCCATCCAGCCTGGCCTGGAACACTCCCAGGGATGGAGCAGCCACAGCTGCTCTGGGCAAAGAGAGCTGTGTCACAGCTGGAAGAGCAAGGCAAGAGGAATGGCAGAACTCACCTTGGATCAAGGGCAGGTAGAGGTGGTACTGGTCGATCTCTCCGCTGAAGACGGCGAACGCTTGTCGCTTCAGCAGCATTGCCTTCTGCTCACAGCTCGGGTACAGCTTCAGGGCACTGCTCTGCATGTCTGCAACAGACAGGATTTATCTGCCATGGAAACACTTCCTGTGTTTTGGCCTGAAAATAAATCCTATGTCCTGAAAACCTTCTAAGAAGAAAAACTCTCTTTGGGTCTCTGAGCAGTGAATTTGCCTCATGGTGCAGACCTTCAACTGTACTTTCAAAGGAGCTGGTAAAGAGGCCAAAGCTGCTTGAGGCAAATTTAGGGGTCCCCTCTCACCCTTTCCCCTTGGACTTACCCTCCCACACCATCCCCAAGCCTGAATTAGAGCTCAAAGCGCTTTACCCCAGGGTTTGCTGCACCACAGACACTGCAGAGTGAGCTCAAGTCTCCTCCTGCAATAGGTCACACTTGAGCCCCTCCAAATTAAGGCAAAAGGTGACTGCAGCAGCTCAACACTTTACACCAAAACCACTTCTGCTGTGTTTCAGACATGAGCAAAACCACAGACTTAACTCAGCACAGCTCTTAGCTGTCCATAATATCATCAGTTATGCAGATGAAGCGTTTTATTGACACATTATTACATTGCAAATGCTCCTGAGATTGAAATAAGAGGAAATCAGTTATCAGCAGCTGGTACTTACTCATCAAATCTTTAAACATAGTTTTCTCGTGTGTTAGGAGGTGATCAATAATGGATCTCCAGCTGCAGAAGACACAGAAGGAATTAGAACACCAGGGAAAGCTTTGGTTAGAATCACCTCAGGAAAGATTTGGGTCAAACTTTTCACAGAAGGATTCCAAGCAGGATCCAGACTCTTAACTGGGTTAACACATCCTGCATGGAGCAGAATTAGTGGGTGAAACCATCCCATTCCATGAAAAAGCACTAAACAGGATTTGCTTCCCAATGTTACCCATTTCCAAAGCCTTTCCACAGCACAAGCTTGGAATGCTGCAATCCCATGTCTTATGCTACAATCCCATGTCTTACTGAGTGCAGGAGGTGTCCATCTGGAAAAACGATGGATCCATATACAACTCCAGCACCTCCTTTTTCCAGGCTCTCTTGGTATAGGCATATCCACTCAAGGAGCTGAGCAGCTGAGCACCAGCACGGAAACTGGGAATGTTGTAGGCACTGAGGGGAGAGAACAATAAGGATAAAGAGTTATTTTTGTGAAAGTTCAGTTTCTGCAGCCAGAAAATCAGCTTGGGGGTTCCCCAGAGCTTCTAACCTACTTCCCAAAGGAACAGCGGGAGGAGGAGAATAGATTCACACTGACAGAGTGGGTTTAGATGGGTGTTGGGGCCTGGTGAGCAGAGGAGCTGTACCTGAGCAATAGTTAAAGGAATGCTTAAGCAATTAAAAACAAGACACACAAAGTAGGTCTTGCTGACCTTGTTTCTATCTTCATGCATTCCTGTGTCTTCAATCCAACACTTTATAATGGTCTTGTTCTCTCCTGCTGCCAGGGTTTTTAGGTTTGGTTTTGGTCTTACTGCCTTACAGATAAGCTAACAAGCCGAGAATAGTGCTGTTGTTTAGATTCTCATAGACACTGTGTAGCTCTTTTTATCAGTTTCCCAGGATGTGAGAGCAGGATGCAGCTTAAAATTGTAACCTATCATAAGTAAGAATTGTGCGCATTGACAAGTTGAGCAACCAATCCAAAGTTGTGTGATCAGCGCTTAGCTGCATGTACGGGAGACATTTTACTACAAATACTGTTAGGTGCCCTAAATAAAGTTGGCTATCAGAGCATCATAATGGTGTGCTGTAGTCTGTCCCTCGCAAGGACCCCAAGAGACAGGAGATTGGGCAGGAATTGCTCCCTGTGAGGTGCTGAGGCACTGGCACAGGTTGCCCAGAGCAGCTGTGGCTGCTCCATCCCTGGGAGTGTTCCAGGCCAGGCTGGATGGGGCTTGGATCAGCCTGGGCTGGTGGGAGGTGTCCCTGCCCAGGGCAGGGGGTGGAACTGGATGATCTTTAAGGTCCCTCCCAACCCTAACCATTCCAAGACCTTTGTGACCTGTATCCCCCAAACCTTTGCATCCTTGTCAGCAAACCCCTGGAATATCATCACCCTTTCCCACATCTATGCTTTTGGTTGACAAACTAGGCAGAGGATAGGGAGATCTTGTGCTATTCCTGCTTCATGGTGTGTCCTATGACCTGCCCAGTGCTCTGCTGCCACATCCCACAGGGTCTGTGACACACACAGAGGAGCTCTGAGGTGAGAGGAACAACTTGAGCTGCCACAGAGCTTCAGCAACAAAAGGCTTCAGCTGCTGGGGGAAATACAGCTTGGACTTCATTAGAATGGCAACAGGGCAGTGAAGAAAGAAATGTTACAGTGAGAGAAAAAGAATGAAAGGTGCAGAGAGATCCTCACCTGTGGTTGCGCAGGTAAGGGAAGACATAGTAGAGCAGCCGTGAGATGAGGGGCACAGCTCTCTCCTTCTCATCACTGCGGTACACCATGTCCAGGAGGGAAGCAAGAACCTTCCAAAGGAAAAGAACAGTTCTTTAAACCCATAACTGGTGTTTCTGGCAAAAGGAGGAAACATGCCACATTTCAGGCTGGAATCACACATAGAATCAGAGAGTGTTAAGGGGTTGGAATGGAGCTTAGAGATGATCCAGCCCCAACCCCTGCCCTGGGCAGGGACACCTCCCACCAGAGCAGGTTGTTCAAGGCTCAGCCAACCTGGCTGTGAACACTGCCAGGATTGGGGCAGCCACAGCCTCCCTGGGCAACCTGGGCCACAGTCTCACCACCCTCACAGGGAAAACTTCTGCCTAACATCTCATCTACATTTCCTTCTTTCAATTTCTCCCCATTGCTCCTTGTCCTGTCCCTGCAGCTCCTAACACAGATCCCTCTGCAGCTTCTCTGGAGCCCCTTCAGATCCTGCAGGGTGCTCTGAGGTCTCCACACAACCTTCTCTTCTCCAGGCTGAACAGCCCCAACTCTCTCCTAGGGAAGCTGCTCCAACCCTCTGATCAGCTTTGTGGCCTCCTCTGGACTTGTCCCAACAGTTTCATGTCCTGCTGATGTTGGGGACACCAGAACTGTGTGCAGTACTCCAGATGTGGCCTCACCAGAGCAGATGGAGGAATCACCTCCTTCAACCTGCTGCCCACACGGCTGTGGATACAGCCCAGAATGCCTCAGGAAAGACTGACACTCCCATTGTATCTACAAGAAAACCCGGTGTTTTCCTCTGCTTAATGACCTCAATTAAACCCACTCCAGAGATGAGAGTCCTACTTACTTCTGCAAGGAGAGAGAGGGCTTGGACACTGTAGATTGAAGGAGCAGAGGCAGAAACCATTGAAGATGGAACCACCGATGCATCTGAAAGAGGCAAAATCATTTAGTTTGCTCTTCAGACATGTCTCAACTTTGCTGTTTCCTAATTTGCCTCCCAACCAGAACTGTTACTTGCACACTGCTGTTACAGTGAAATGCAAACCACGTCCTATCAAACACCTTGTGCTCTTTACTGCCTTCACCAGGAGGTCAGAGAAAACCACCTTACCATTCACATCTTCTATGTTGAATTCATCTGGTAAAATCTGAGGCTGAGCTTTCACTTCCAAGTTCCTGCTCAGCCAGCTGGTCTGTTCCAGGGAAGAACCAGCAACAGTCCCTACAGCCTCCAGGATCTTTTGGGTCACCTCCTGCAACATAACCACACGAAGTGAATGTCGAAGCCAATCCAGTGAAGTGATTATTATATGGAATGTGTCAAGAGAAACAGAAATAAAGTTTTATCTCTCAGTGATATGAATTATCTGTGCTCTCATTATAACTAACTACTGCTCACTGCAGATAAGAACAGGTAGAAAAATGAGAAGCAGGAAAAAACTTGGAACGGCTTGTGCTGGAAAGGACCATAAAGCTCACCCAGTCCAACCCCCTGCCCTGGGCAGGGACACCTCCCACCAGCCCAGGCTGCTCCAAGCCCCATCCAGCCTGGCCTGGAACACTCCCAGGGATGGAGCAGCCACAGCTCCTCTGGGCAACCTGTGCCAGTGCCTCAGCACCTCACAGGGAGCAATTCCTTCCTCACATCCTACCTAACCTTTCCCTCCTTCAGCAGAGGCCACTCATGTCAAGTCATATGCTGCTACTTCCATCTTTCTATGTGCACAGTCCCACTGCAGTGTAATCCCCAGGGAAATGAGAGCAGGTCATTCTCATGGAACCTCATCCCACCTAGCCAAAGCAAAGCAGAGGTCATGTGTGAAAAGGCTCTGAGATGATTAAACTCTTCCTCATTGTCCTCATTTTGCTGGCAAGTCTCTGAAGCACAAGTTGACACTTAGTTTCTCTGTTGGCAAACAGTACTATAACCAGGGTGATGTCTCATCTCCTCAGAGCCAAAGCTCCACCCATGTAAGTAGTGCTTAAACTGTTCTGGTGAAACCACAACCAGAACAGGAGGAGAATCCTGCTCTACTCCTTCTGTCCACAACAGGTGAGCTCATTTCCATTGTCAAACACACTGGGAGCTTTGAGTCTAATTAGGCCACTCATTTTCCTAGATAGCTTTTCGATTTCAATGCTGACACATAGGACATGAACTCGTGACATCACAATAGTGCTAGGATTTAAGTTCCCCAGGGGAAAACAGCTTGGAAAAGGTCATATTTACCACAGGAGTTCAAGTATTTGGGGTTAAATTTTGTTTGCCTCTCATGTTTCAGCCTCTGTTTTCTCAGCCAAAATGTGTGGATGCACCTTCAGGCATTCCCAAAAGCACAGGGCAAAGGATACAAAGGACAGGTCAGGTCATCTCCACTTGTACTTAGATGTGCAGTGCCAGGTTTAGGAACTAAAAGGTGGGTATATAACACTGTACCTGCAAGTCTTTTTGGTCTTTTTTGCTTTCTAGAGTAGGTGTCCTGGTCACAAAGTCATTCAGAGTGCTGTGGGGAGATCAGGGCACTCTGAGTTAGTAACTGCACAGCTCAGCTCAATGCACCTCTAAAACGTCTCTCTGATGGAGTACCTGAGGAGAAGAAAGTGTCCAGGAGGAGCCAAGTTCAACTGCACAGACTCTCTGAGGAGTCCTAATAAGGGCTGGAAGTTCTCCTGCAAGGCTGGGACAGGTAATCTGCCAAAAAAACAACACCAAGACACACCCAAGTCTGGAGTTAGAGTTATGCAAGAGCAAAAAAAACCATACAGAGGTAACTTGGTGGCCTAAAAGCTTCCACCGGGATCAGTCCTTTAGATCCTGCCCCTTCCTAACTGGCCCAATGACACAGGTTGGGTTGGAAGGACCTTAAAGATCATCTCATTCCCCCCCCTGCCATGGGCAGAGACACCTCCCACTAGCTCAGGTTGCTCCAAGCCTCATCCAGCCTCGCCTGGAAAACTTCCAGGGATGAGGAATCCACAACTTCTCTGGGCAACCTGTGCCAGTGCCTCAGCACCTCACAGGGAAGCCTGAACTGAGGCTTTCAGGCTGCCACTCTCAGCAGCTCAGTGGAGCAGAATGTCACAGCTCTGGGACTCATCGTCTCGGTGTCAACAATGGCAACACATTTCCTCCAGAAAGGTGTTCTGTGCCACTGTGACATGAAGATCAAAGGAAAGCAGAAAGCAGAAAGAGACTAATTATCTTTTTGAAGGACCGAATTACCTTTGAATGAAAGCATAACTGAACTGTAGCATTGGGATATCTACCAGAGAAGGTTTCTGCAAGAGAAAAGCAAACCCACAATTAATTACCAGCAGAAGAAACAAGAAGGTCCAAGCTGTGGATTCCTTGTGTGCAATGGTGAACATCCCACTTGTGCTCCAACAGGCAACCAAACCAGCACAAGAGGGACCAGAGCTTTGAGAGAGGACCTAACTCAGAAACTATCACATTACCTTGGGATATCTGCTAAGTTGATTCAGTTCATTCATTTGTTGTGGAACAGCAAAACCGATGCCCTTGGAAAACAATTGGAAAGTAACAGTGTGAAGTGTTTCTAACTGTTCAGGGAAGGGGAGAAAGACAGAAATTAATCACTGAGACATAAATCTGCAGCAGCTTTGGGAAAACTGGCAATGTCTTCAGTCCTGGAGGTTCTCACACCTTTGCATTCCCAGCAACTTCTCCAGCAAAATGTTGGAATCATAAAATCATGGGATGGTTTGGGTTGAAGGGACCTTAGAGTTCAACTAGTTCCACCCCCTGCCCTGGGCAGGGACACCTCCCACCAGCCCAGGCTGCTCCAAACCCCATCCAGTCTGGCCTGGAACACTCCCAGGGATGGAGCAGCCACAGCTGCTGTGGGCAACCTGTGCCAGTGCCTCAGCACCTCACAGGGAGAAATTCCTGCTCAATATCCACCTGTCCCTGCCCTGTGGTAGTTCAAAACCATCCCCCCCCATCCTGTCTTTATCTGGCCAACAATGAAGTTCTGAAGAACCTTCTCACACTGATGGATCAAACCACAGCAACTCACATTCTGTAAGACATAGTTAGGAGCAAAAGACAATCACACCTTTAAAAGAAAAAGCCCAAATTTTCCTCCTAACAATACTCAAAAGACACATTGGAACAGATCCAGATTAACAGGTTGTTAAAACAATGGAATTATCTTCGTGGTTACCTCTTCCCCCTTGATCTGTGTTGGTTTCTTGACCACCTCTTTGACTAGATGCAATATAGTGTCAGTTTTCAGTGTGTTCAGGGCACACACTAAGTCCACAAGAATCAGCTGAGATGCAGTGGTCACTGGAAGGATCTGAGAAAACAAAAGACACCCCTCAGCCCACAAAGCAGCTTTTTGTGTGATTACCCAAACACCAAAACTTACACCAAATGGGAATTATAGAGGTTAAATCAAACTCAAACCCTTTGCCATATACACATCTCTCAAGACCTTATGAAAACAACTTGATTATGTTGCAAGGAAAGCAGGAAGGAAAAGAGGTTGTGCCCAGGAGAAATGCTTAGCTCCAAAGAATTGTACAGCTTTGGCCTTTCTCTGGAAATGGAGGTGATTTATGGTGCTTAAAATACAATTATCAAGTTGCAATGTTAAGATTCCAACCCAGTACTGACTACAAAAATGGCTCTCAGACTTAAACTGCCACAATGTCCTTCTGATTTGCTTTTTTATTTAGGTTTAATTGTAGTCCTAATGCTTTTCATACATAAGAGCACTCCAGATTTTTCACTCACTTGCTGCTATCACATATAAAAAACCCCAAAGAATCTCTAAGCAAGGACAGAGTTGAGAGCTGAGCAGAGAAATGTAACCTTTGCCTTCACACTGGAAAGCTAAAGGTGCTTTGATTGAGTTTCACCTTGGTTTTACTGTGAGTCCTATGAGGTTTCTTGCTGTTCCACACTGCTGCGATTGCTGCCATCAGCTGGATTCCAAGCTGTGCTGTCAGTGGATTCAGGAAGTCTAGGATTTTGGTTTTTAATGTCTGTAGAGGTGGGAAAAAAAATAGCTGTCAATGCTTTACTTTGTGAGGGAAAGATTATCTCAAGATGTTCAGACAATACACAACAAAAGAACTCTGGAAAAGGTGAGGGAGGGAAGCAGGAAGTTTAAGAACTCCTACTTTGGTTGCTTTGAAGTAGACAGAAGAAGAGCCTTTAGTGGATCCAAAGAAGTCAGTTGGTCTTTTTTGAGAGTCTTCCCTCTTGATAACACTCCAAAGAAGGGACATGGTGTTGATAATTCGAGGCAATTCCTCCAGGATGGCATTAGCATTCCTGGCTCAGGTTTGTAGGTTCAGCTAAACTTGATGACTAGGAAAAAATCCATTACATCCATTAAAATCTATTGTATTATGCACCACAGACTCAAAATTGTAGAAAACACCAACATCATCAACTCAAAAGAAAACAGAGGAGTTTGTTAATGACAGAACAACTTGGTTCACTTCTTTGGGTGTCCTATGAGGTGTCTGTAAGGTTATTTTCTGGTACAATTCAGCTAAACTTGATGACTAGGAAAAAATCCATTACATCCATTAAAATCTATTGTATTATGCACCACAGACTCAAAATTGTAGAAAACACCAACATCATCAACTCAAAAGAAAACAGAGGAGTTTGTTAATGACAGAACAACTTGGTTCACTTCTTTGGGTGTCCTATGAGGTGTCTGTAAGGTTATTTTCTGGTACAAGTGATTTACTACTTATCTTGACCTCTGCAGGGAAAGGGATGTGGACTCTGATGCTCAGTTGTCAGGGGATTAAACACTGACCTTTTTCATTGGATGAGGCTGATCCAGCAAGCAGAAGTGCCCAATGGAGGTCAGACCTTCCAGAAGGGTCAGTGGATAATCAGGTGTCACATTTTCTCTTTTAGAAGTTAAGCTTTGGAGGGGGGGAAAAAACTCAAAGAGGTTAACAGGCCAAGTAGTATTTCTTTGATTAAAAACCCCATTCCTGTTTCTATTCACTGGTTAAAACTGGAATGACCAGACAGAAATATCAAACCAAAGGATTCACCAACTACAGTTGGACAGTTCTGTTTCACTGTGGGATCTTTCAGGATACTATTACCCACTTGACTATACATCTTTACCTTGCCATTATTTTTCCCTACTCCTTTCCCTCCCTTAGTGCCTGTTCTGGACAGTATCTCTTTTTCTTCTCCACATTGTTCCTCCTAAATTAGTCCTCCAAAATCCTCAGTCTTGTCCAAACTGGGAATGACTTGGATGGAAGGCAGAGAGGCACTGGAAGTATCATAGCTGCTGGTCTTCTTTCCTCTCACACTCCAACAACCCTCCACCTGGGCTCCAGGGATAGGTGCAGAAGGATTTGAGGATCAAACTGGAAGCCACAGTGCTAAATCACTAAGTTACTGCACACTCACTACTCATAGTAAGAGGAATTTTCCACAGCCTAACAAATCCCACTCTTACCTGGCAGATGTTTTAGCAGATGTCTTCACAGCTTCATTTTCATACTGCTTGACAAGCTCATCCAGGTTCTTACAGATCTGTACAACAAATGGTGCCACAGTCCAGCCCAAAGACTTGCCAAAGTAGGGCAGGGAAGATGTGACTAGGCCTACCCAAGTGGGATGCATCCCATAGCCATACTCTGGTTGCAAACCTCTAACCACAGCAGAGACAAATAGACCCTGGGAAGTTATGGGATGTGGATAGACATATTGCATGGCACCAATAGCCTGCTGGAAGTTCAGAGCCTGCTGCCACTCCTTGGAGAGGTCTGGCTGATTGTCCTGCTCCTCAGGGGATTGTCCAAGGTGGTGCTCCAAGACAATCAACACCTGCAAGAGCTTTAGCAGCTCAATCTGGAGAGGGTGTTCACTCCAGATTTGATCATGGCCAAAATTAATCAGGCTCTCTTCAAAGAGTTCTTCTCCAGGCATGGGATTGGCTCCATCTGCCATGAGCAGCTCATAGCGTTTCTGACTTATGTACATGGATGCAGACAAGGAGAGAAGAACAAACTCTTGGATTTTGCACCTTCCAAGCAAACTACGGATGAACTCCACGTTCTTACTCTCTGCTGCCTTTGCCACCGTGGCCAGTTGGCTCATCATCCTAATCAGCACTTCCACACTCTTCACCTGCACATCCCTGTTGCCAAGGACATCCCTGTGGGTGACCCTGAGGCAACAGGGATAGTAGGAGCGCAGGAAGCTGAGGCAGAGGTAGGTGAGCAGCTCTATCAGGAGGGAATGAGGACACATGGTTGGGGACTGAGCCTGGAGCTTGCCATAAAAGCTCTGCCCTACAAGAGCTTCCTGATGGCGAGCTAAGAGGTTGTAGATGAGGTTCAGGTGTGCTGTGGAGCTCGTGTCCATGCTGGTAGTAGCCACAGCTTCCATAAATTCCTTAGGGTTGGTTTTCAGCACAGCTTCCAGCACGGAGAAGGCATAGAGCACCCGCTTGGAGTCGTAGGGCTGCAGGTACAGCAGCATGTGCTTGAACAGAGCCTCCACCATCTCCTGCTTCTCCTTCTGCTGCTTCACCAGCCTGGAATGGGTGATTTCCTGCAGCTCCAAGTCCACCTCTTCATCACTTGACAGAGACTCTGATGCTTGAGTCCTCTCGGAGTCGGCGCGCACGAGGTGCAGTGCTGCGCTGGATCTGGAGCTTTCCAGGAAGGCACTGGGCAAATTCCCAAGGTTTGGGGCCTCTTTGCCATCAGTTGCAGCACTGTCCTCATTGCTCACTTCCTGCAGCTCCAGGGAAGGGGAGAAGGAAGAGGTGTTCTCACTGTCATGGCCTGTGCTGGTGTCTGCGGATTCTGTGTGCTCACTGTTGTCTTGGTCACCATCTCCATCTCCATCCTGGGAAGTTAGTGGCTGGCAAGATCCATCATTTTCACACTGCTCAGGCTTGAAGTCTGCTTTCTCTGGATCTTTTTCCACTTCTGCCCAAATTGCTTCTCTATCCACAGTAGTGAACTGGCTCAGTGGGAGGTTTTCCTCAGAATTGCTCTCAGAAATTCCAGACTCCTTCAGACAGGCCTTTTTCTTCCAAAGCCAATCATGGATAGAGCCTGAAAAACAAATTTATTTCTTCAAAAATAAAGCATATAATTGTCTATTTCAGCTGGGAATAGGTTTGGAAGGGTCATCTAGGGAACACAACATGCTTTTTACTGAATAAATGTAAGGAAAGAAAGGTTTCAAAGCAACTGTGCCCTGACCTGAGACGTGGAGTACATCAATTGTGACAAGTGGGGTTTACAAAACTTGGGTAAGGCAAGGATTGTTTCCTTTTCAGAATGGTAGGGCAGTTCTAACCTACTGCAAGGAAAGAGAACAGGATGAAAACATGAAGCATGTGCTGCTTCTCTTAGGCTGTGACTTCCTGGATGTGGCAATTGTCTTCTTTATGCTTCCTAAACATTGGAGGTTTGTGGAGATGAAGAGGGAAATGAGAAGGAGAGAAACAGAGGAATTAATTAAACAGCTAACTGAAGTTTGTCCCAGATGCTTCTCCACTGTTTTTCTGTTCTGTTCCAGGAAACAACTTTGGCTATTTGGGCCAAATCACAGTCAAAGAACCATAGAATCATGAAGGTTGGAAAAGACCTCCAAGATCACCAAGACCAACTATGACCCAGCATCACCACCATGTTCACCATGCCCTCAAGTGCCACATCCACATGTTTTTTGAATGGAAATGGCAATGAGAAGTGTGGGACAAGATCCCACAGCAAAGCAAGGAGCAATCCAAACCAATGGGGTAGGTGCAGCCACCGTGATGGAAATGATCAGAGAACCATCAGGGTTGGAGGAGACCTCTAAGATCATCAAGTCCAACTGTTAACCTGTCACTGCTGTAACCCCTAAACCATGTTTTCCAGCACCAGGTCCAGACCTCTTAAACACTTCCAGGGATGGTGATTGCACCATCTCCCTGGTAATATTCCAATGCCTGAACACAGGGA